TATCTCTATCTGTTTACTTTTGAATGTATGCAACTGTTTATTCCTTCTGTGAACTCTCTTTATTTTAAACATTTTTGTGCGAGACCATTTAATATATTGTTTGAAAATTTCCTATTCGCGACAATACGAAAAAATTATGGAATTTAAAAACATTTCTTATTTATTTTCCTGAAACGAGCTACTGTCACAACTTCAAGCGTTTAAATTCGTAAATATATTCTTTATTTTGCTATTTGTTAAAATTACCCTTGTGTTTCTTCGTCCTTACCATCTTCCATTAATTTTCTTGGCGGGATAAATCAATTGTTAATTTTAGCCTCGAACCCCACACCGCTATAAATCTATTCATTCTGTTCTGAGATTTCTATTTTTTTTATTTTCTTCCAATTTTCTGGGATCATTTTATTTATCAATAGTTGATCTTTACAACCATATGAACCGCTTCGACATCCCTTCTATCCCAGGGTAAGAATGTTTGTCATCATCGAAAAAAAGCTGGTAGAGTTCATCAGGACAGACGTTATCAATTTACATGTTATTGGCCTATGATCTTTTTGGAATCATCTTCTTCACCCGTTTGTGGTAGGAGATATGTAATACTTTCAGTAATCCATTCTGGATTACATTGGGGCTATTGATTAGCATTGATAGATTTTGAACAGTCATCACCTGTCATCAATGCATAAAAACATGCATTGATGACAGGTGATGTTGCCAAACGTTGGGTACCTTGTAATTTCCTGGAGATTTCCATTTTGAGGATTTTCTTAGAGCTTGCCTTACATTATTCTGTGCTAATTTTTTCCATTTTTATACAGGCTTATCTTTCAAGTACTGCGTCGACGAAATGAACATGTCTTCATCTTTTGGTCAGAGAAGTCTCTATAAATTCGCCTGTCGTAAATGTAATCTGAGTGAAATTTTATACAATTAATTTAGAATTACGTTATTTTATTTTATTTTTAATTTTAATTCTATTTCATTTCATTTATTTTATTTTATTTTTTGTTTATTTAATTTCATTTTAATCTTATTTCATTTTTTACTCTTACTTTATTCAATAATTTATTCTCCTTTTTCTTTTTTTCTTTCTCTCACATTTCCAAGGAACCTTTCCAAGGATCCTTCCGCTACCCTGGAGTGGGAAGAGTATCTATCATATAAAGGTTGATTATTATTACTCGAATTGGTGTAGAGGAAATGAAGAATTTCTGGTTAAAGAAGTTTCTGGAGATTCGCTTGTAGTAAATGTAAGCTTTTATACGATTAATTAGAAATTACGTTTATCTTTTTCTTTTCTTTTAATTTTATTTTATTTCATTTTAGTTTAGTTTATTTTTTACTTTACTAATTAGTATTTTCATTATTATTATTATTATTATAATTATTATTATTATTAAATAGTTAGATATTATTATTATTAAATAGTTAGATATTATTATTATTAAATAGTTAGATAATTTTCCGAGAAAAGAAAATTTTCCTGGTAAAGAACAATTTTCCTGGAAAAAGAGCAATTTTGATGCAAGGGAAGTAAACTTGAAATAAACTTTTTTTGAATAGCCTCCCTTGAATTGTCGTAGTTTTAGGAATTACTTTAGAGATTTTTATTATTAATAGTGATCCATTGATAAATAATTACTAAAAAGCATCAAAAGACAATATTAGGATGATAAATAATTATCAGTTATGATCAATTATCAATTATGATCTTAATTTTACAATATAAATTAAGATAATGAACTATGTTCTAATTAATTTCACTAGGCAAATTACAAATATAGGGGACACCGTAATCAAACAAGTACAATTTAAATACCAGTCTCCTACCGCTTTTCGGCAAAATATTCGAGGCTTTAATCAATGTCGAAGTAGTTAAGCATCTTACCTCTCACAATCTACTCTCTGACAAACAATATGGTTTCCGTTTTGCCCGGCCTACCGCTGATTTGCTTACGGCTATAACTGAATATGTATATCAAGCGCTTCATAATAACGGTAAAGCTCGAACTGTGGCTCGAGATATCTCGAAGTCGTTTGACAGGGTTTGGCATGCTGTTCTTCTACGTAAGCTTCAGGGATATAGTATTACAGAACCATTATTTGATTAAATTCAATCATTCCTATCAAATCGTGAAATGAATGTGGTTCTGAACGGGCTCTCTTCCAGATCTTTTCATACGGACGTGGGCGTTCCCCAAGGCTCTATACTGGGTCCTACGCTCTTTCTGATGTCTTTAGTTCCCAAGTAGATATCTATGCTGACGAAAATACCATTTCTGACAAACTGGCCGCTGCTCTCGAAAAGGTCCATCAATCAGTGGTTAACTGGGGCAGGAAATAGCTTGTAAAAATTTTAATGCCTTCAAAACTAAACCGCTCTCATTTAATTACCATAGAGAAACATCCCTGTCTACCATTAGCATGGTTGTTACTAGACTCCGGTAGAGCGGCTTACAGTGCCTTCTTAGCCTTACGTTTTCAACTGAGTTAAAGCGGGACAAATACATTTAATCAATAGCTGCATCTACTGCAAAGAAAATTAGTGCCAGAAGGTTTTTCTCCTCAAATGCCATCTTACAAAGCTACCATTCGTCCTTTCATTGAATACTGTTGCCATATCGGGTTTGGTGCCCCTACTGTTTATCTCGAAGTTCTCGACAAAATCCAAGGAAGGATCTGTAATGTAATTGATCCTGACCTGACGTCTCGACTTCAGTCTCTTTCTCGCCGACGTGACATGGCTTCCCTCTGTCTTTTCTACAAATATTTTCACGGTAACTGCACTGATGAGCCTTTTCCCTGGTGCCTCGATACATGAATCTAAGTGCGCTACTAGATTGTCATCTAGGTCACTCCCTTTTACCTTTAAAATATTTAAATGTAACCACCATTTCAGTTTCTTTTTTTCGCACTTCCAGACTGTGAATCTCCCTTCCTCTTACTTGCTTCCCTGATAACTACTTCAAAAATTTAAATGCAGTGTCAGCCGCCATCTTCTATTGACCTGAACCCTGTTCATCTTTTATCCTTTCCTCAATCCCCACTATACACAGTCTTTTCTCTCACTTTCAGTTTCTGTAATCCCCTGCGTGCTAGTGGCACTCCTGTCTTGCTTGGGGTGAAATACTTACAAAAAATGGGTTCCTGGGTGTAGAAGTATTAGAAAACAGAAACATACTTTCGATACATGACTGACGAGGCAGATTTTTTCCCGCAGTAGGTTGCCATTTCTTTCGGCGGTAGACCAGATGCCATCCAAGGCTACAGAACCCAGTCTGTCCTGCTATTTACCCATAGCTGGGAGGGGGAGAAGAAGTGGATTCATAACTTTCCCAAGGGTAGCACTTAAGTGAATGTAATGGATCTAACGGGCCTGGCTTGTCCAGTACTTCGCTTAAATTCATAAAGTCTAGGTACAGGAGCAAAATAGATCGTCACAACAATTATTATGAATAGAAAAGGGAGGCAACTTTAGGTCGGCGGAAAATGTGACTGAAGGCATAACATGAGCAATAATAACTGAAGGTTATTTTGAACTCTTCACATTTATTTTCATTTCTCATTTTTCCTTTTTGTAATATGCCCGTTTAATTTGTTGACATTTGTTTGTTTAAAGGGAAAAAATAAAACATAAGATTAATCATGTTCTTTATTTTTGCCCGCCATTATTGTTGGACAATGTACCAGGATGTAAAAAACGTACACACCCCATATCAAATTTCAAGCACCAGTATGCTTTTTGTGTGTTAATCCCAACATTTTTACTCATTCAGTGTTGTTTTGCCAACTTTTGTCTTGTATATATGGCTTGCTTAGCATTACTTTTTGACCTGCTCTTATCTATCTCTTGTTATAATCGTTATTTAACCTGGTCTCCCCACTGAAACAGGATGTGACATAAGGTCGGGTTTAACGTGGGGAACCCGAGCGCGTACACCTGGTTGTGCTGGCATTGGTATGAGGACCGATCTCTACCTCTTTAGTTCAATGGGGAGTGGTGTAGCCTTGGGCAGCTGTTCCCCGGGACAGGGCACCTCATAGTATTTCATTCTTCAGCTGCATCTCTGTCTACGTTCAGAGTCACAACCGAGTCATACTCTGCCCGAAGACAGAGAATCAACTCAGAGATAATAATCATCCCCCTAAATGATAATAATCATCCTCCTAAATGATTTTCTAAGCGTAGCTTAGACTTGGCATAAGGCCGAAAGTGAGGTGCACACAGTGAGGATCGATCTCACTAATAAGTCATAATTGATAAAGCGAGACAAGCTTGGTAACTATTACACCACATGGAAGTACCCAAAGTTATTTTCATAGCGTAGCTTAGATGTGGAACAAGGCCGAAAGTTTTCTGGCACTCAGTGAGGATCGAAGTCACTACTCGGTCGTAATTGATCTAGCGGGATAGGTTTGCTAGCCATTACATCTCGTTGAAGTAATCAAAATTATTTTCTAAGCGTAGCTTAAGTGTGGCACAAGGCCGAAAGTGTGCAACACTCAGCGAGTATCGGCGTCAATACTCGGTCGTAATTGATCTAGCGAGACAAGTTTGCTAGCTATTACACCTCGTTGAAGTACTCAACATTGTCAATTATAGTGATTTTCTAAGTGTAGCTTAGCAAGGCCCAAAGTATGGGGTACCCAGTGAGGTTCAAACTCAGTCGTAATTTCTCTAGTGAGACTAGTGAGACTAGTGAGACATTTAACCATGTCCAATTATTAATGCTTAATAAGAACCAAAATTCTCATAAAATAATATTAGACATGAATTTGATGGCAAATAAAGTTTTATTTATTGATATTTTCTATTAAAAGAAATTATTACTATTTCAGCTATATTAGTGTTTAATCTATATTAATGTACTATTAGTCTATCAATGTTAAATGTTCAATTTCGTTTATTTACTTGTTCTATTAGTCTGTTAAACGTTCTGAGAACTTATCTCTTCAAACTGAATTCTATCAGATCTCAAACAGTTCTTGATTAAATTCACTACGTCGCTTCGGTAGTAAAATGTCACCAACAGAAGTATCTGCAAAAAATAAAAACAAATGAAAAATATTAGAAATGTTATATATTTTATTATTTCTTTAATTAAACGTGTAGCAACAAACTGGAGATGTCAAAATTAAGCAAGTACAGACATGTATCTAACTGGGAAGTGTGTTAATCACGCACTTCCTAAAAAAGAAAAGAACAAAGCTCATTTTAAATAATTTAAAAGGTCTTTTTTTATGGAAAGGATAAAAGTTATTCCGTAAAAAAAATAATTAAGTTTTTAGTCACTTAAAACATTGTCACAATACTCAGCGGGCCTCCGTTTTAGAGGAAGTCTAGAACATATTTCTTAATATTCCAAAATTTGTCCCTTATTTATCAATTCACCCCAAGTAAGGCGATAAAGCCACTAAGACGCAATGGGTTACAAAGTATGAAAGAGTTTGAGAAAAAAAATATTGTCGTATTTTTTGCGTTATTGCTTTTTATTTTAATTTTCTTTGGTCACTTGGCAGGTTTTGCGTTTGTTTTACCAATAATTTTGTTGGTTATATATATATATATATATATATATATATATATATATATATATATATATATATTTTGACTGGGAAACAATATATATATATATACAGAGATCATTGTTAGTACTCAAGTCTTAAAATCTCTGTAAATTCAAATTAAAGAATTCAAAAATGTAAATTTCTTATTCACTTTGAATCACTATAATAAATCTTTTTAATCGAATTTACCCCATGCAAGACACTAAGGCTCAAGGGGCTACTGGGTATAAAAGAATTAGAAAACAGAAATATTATCAAGGAATGAGAACAATAAAAGAGTAATCAGGAAGATAGTAGATAACGATTGACATTGCATTTACATTTTTGAAGATCAAAGTTGACTGGGAAACAAAAAGCCGACAGAGAGTTCAACAAGTGAGAAGTGCAAGATTAAAAAAAAAAACTTTTAGCATAGAACTTACGGTTACATCTAACTACTTCAAATATAAATTGATAAGACCATGTTGCCTTGGTACTGTGCTTAAATTCATAACGTCGAAGAGTCGAAGAGGAAATTTCATTAAGACAATTACAATGAAAGTATTTATAGAAAAAAGGCACGTGGAAGCGACGTTACGGCGTTGGGGAAGTGACTGAAACCGATGTGCCAGGTCAGGACCGATAACGTTGTATATTCTTTAGATTTTATCAAGAATCTCGAAATACATAGCAGAAATAGCAGGGACGCAACAGGGAACCAGAAGAAGAAGGCCTAGCAAATTGATTAAATATAATCGTTCCACTTCATGTCAGTGGAAAACGTCACACAGGGAAAGTGTAACGAGTTACTTTCCTGGAGAACAGTATACGTCATACTGATGGAGAGCAAAAAGGTTTCTCTAAGATGATTAAAATAGAGCAGTTTTGTTTTGGAGGCGTTAAAATTAGCAAGTCAATTTTGGCTCCAGTTGACAACAGATTGTAGGTCATTTTTGAGCCTAGATAGCAATTTGATCTGATCGAACCAAACAGACTTAACATTAACATTATGACAGGCGTAAATAGACGTTTCATCAGCATAGATACCAAGTCGAGAACAGATGATATCGAAAGGGTCTATGAAAATTAGGAACAATGTAGGTTCACTGATGATGGTGTGTGGAGGAGGAGGGAATACTCGCCTCATTGTAAAAAGAAAAATTCATTTCGCGATTTGATAAGATATTGAAGCAAATAAAAAATTCGACCAGAAACAACTATAGCCTTTCAAGTTGTGAAGAAGACTGGTGTGCCAAACCCAGGCAAATCCCTTCATTCTTATCTAAATTATAACAAGTTCTTTCAGCATTATGCGTTAACATATCTATATTTATCCTTGAGTAGCGAAAGCCATTTTGATGGTCTAAAAGAAGACCATGCTTAATCAATTCGTAGTTTATTAGTGCCTCTAGGATTTTACCAAAATAAGTAAAAGACTAATAGGTCAATAATCAGAAAGATCAGACTGTTTCTTAAAAACAGAACCCACAGAAAAAAAAACCGGAATGCAAGAAGCAAGGCATTTATGGTAGATTTTATAGCGAACAGGGGCTAATTCAGGAGCACATTCCTTAAATACTACTGCAAGTATACCATCAATTCTGCTTGAGGAACAAGTTTAAAGATGTTTAAAGAAATCATGAACCTAACAGTAGATGCGCAATTTTAATTGGAAAATTACAGGGGAGTCAAGAGAAGAATTGGAAAAGAATTTACGAGCTTAACATTCTGTTTCATAGGCAGAAGATGATAACATCTCTAACTGAGCAAAGATAGAGGACTTGCTCTTATTTAACACATATAGATAGTCAGGCAAACCACTTGTTAGAGTCTCATTTTTACAACGAACAAACATTTAACCTCAGTGAGGACACAGTTACAATTATTACGAGCAGAAACAAAAAAGCGTCTCTTTTGATCAAAACTATCACATTGGAACAGCCGGAAAAAGTGATTTCGGAGCGTCTGAACATTGGTTTCACCTGGTATTTCCCAGATGGTACAAAAGCGTCAAAGTTGGCTTTTACCCAAGAAGAACAGTGACAATCTCTAAGGAACTTAGAAAAGCAAAGGGGCGTAAAGGATTCAGAAAGAAATCTTGTGATTAGGCGGTTCATGTCTAATAGACGAGTTAAAATAAATATCAATAGATATTACAACGTGATCACTGGGAATTCGTCGAGTGCCTTTGTGCTGGGACGGTCGATTCGTCAGGGTTGTTCGCTATCGCCCCTACTTTACGTTTTGGCGCTAAAGCCTGTCCTGTGTCGACTAAAGAACAACATGTGCAGTCCGGCCCTATACGGAATCGGTATCCCTGGAGGGATTAGAGCCAGGTTTTTCACCTACGGTGATGTATCAATTTCGTTTTCGGCAACGAACAAAGCCAGAGGTTTAACCAAATAAAGAAGCACATTGATCAGAATTATTAGGAAAACATATGGAAAACATTTGACTGAATGAATTAAAGTCTCATTACGGCAGCATCAGTAAACAAAAAACTTGACATAATGAAATCAACAAAAATATTCGCAGATGAACGTCGAGAAACATTTCTATTGTGCCAGGTACTTTATCTAATATGTTCTAAGAAGAAATGGGGGCGATAAAGAAAAAATAGATAGCTAAGAGAGTACAATAAATAAAGTCGAAAGCGCATGAAAGTATCATCCAAGGACACGAAAGACGATTTCCTTGCCGTTAGATTTTCTCGAATACAAACACCAAGACCATGAATCATTTCGACAAAGAGAAAGATAGCCTGCAACACTGGTAACGACAGCAGAATTTAAATTAGTTTCACAAAGCTAAGAATCTGGAGAACGTTTCCATAGAAACGGATTCTACTCTACAAAAATTGATATGAATACCACGAATATTGGAGAAAGAAAGGTTGAAGGGATTAGGTGACTTTTTGTTTACAGACCCTTTTAAGAAGAAAACACTGTCCATAAAAACCGACAAGTTGCCTTCGATATTTTGTGGCTGTAGGAACTAGTTTATCGTCAAAAGGAAAGGTTGCATCAACTTATCAGTCAGATGACCAAAACGTTAAAACTGTTAAATCATTAAAGTCATAAGAAACGAGAAAATCGTAAACGTAAAAAAAATAAACTGAATAAACATGGAAGTGGTACCGGCTGGGTGATTATTAATGATTTAAGTTTGTCGAAGAGATTTGTTTCAAAGTAAATTATTAAATTTAAGTGTTAAGTGAGTGAATTTTACGATGGAGTAATTGATAGCGGCTCGGATTGAGGAATCGGAGAGCCGAATTTAAAGTAAATATTCAATAGATACTACAGCGAGACGACGTGTATCTGCCTAGATAGTCGTTGCCGTAAATGGAATTCGCCTCTCGAGTAAGCGGGCGAGCCTTTGTGACCATTGGGACTGGGGTCTTAGGTTCCCTCCCTTCCGGGGCCCAAGATTCGTTGTGGTCAATGTTTTGAAGCTCTAGTTGCGACGTGCCCCACGTCTGTGGGGATAGGTTTGGGTGGTCGCGTCACCCTTCTGCTAAAGCACCGGTTGGTCCTCAACCTCCATCCAGGATGCTGTGACCTCCATGGGTTAAAGAATCCAATCAGTGGTGGACCATTCTCCCGGTATTTCGGGCCCTGTTCCTATGGTATCCAACATTCCTAGGGGAACCTCAGGGAGTCGGAGTATCTACTACTGGGTTTATTTTTCGGAGGAATCTGCGATTGCGAGGATCCCATCCATGCGTACATTATACTGCCGGTTACCCAGTGTTTCCACCACCCTTCCTGTTTTGCCCATCGGCGCGGGTGGACCAACTTGGTGATCTGCACGTTTCCCCGATTTTCAGTTCCAGTGGGTGACTTTTTCGTGTTGCCATCGCTGTTTCCCTATAATGACATTTCTCTCCAGCGGCGATATCGGTCCTGGAGGCTATGGTCCTATCACACGACCGTAGAGCATCATCGCTGGAGACATATATGTTGATCTCGTACCGGGGTGTTGCGATGAGTCAGTAGGGACCAGCTGCCTGGAGCATAGGCCAGCAAGTCCGTGCTATCAACAAGTATCCTTTTAGCCGTTTTAAAAGGGTAATATGCCGATGAATGCCCCAATTATCTAGGAACCGGTTAAATTGATCAGTCAAATGGTCCGCCATTAGGTACGCCAACGTGCAGAACCAGTTTCGGAGGGCGTCACATGTGGCCTTGGCATTCCCGGACGACAAAATCCGGTGTATCTATCTGCATTTGAGTTCTTCCCTCTGATTTCTGAAATGGGAACTCGGGGTTCGAGGGCGCATCAGGGGTTCCTTGGGTTGTGAAAATACTTTGCACTAAAGTCGCGTCAGTCCTGGCCAAAAATACGTGGCCAACATTCATTGAATGATGCTGAATGGAGCGCGTAACCTCCGCACGTAGCTTTCTGGGATGAAGTTTTATTTTCCAATGAAACTCCTCAACAAAAAATCCGGCAGTTTGCCGAGATAGGGAACGAATTCGGCGAGGAACGG